GGGCGGCAACGCCGCGGGTGAGCTCTGCAGCATCTCCTGCAGCAAAACCAACATTAAACCCATGGATTTTAACAAGTGGGGGGAGCATGCAAGGTTTGCATTTTCCCCCTCCAATAAACACGCCCTGTTTTCTTTTTTTTTTCCCTCTAGCTGATTCAAAATTGCAGAAAAACGGGGGTGGGGGGGTGGTTTGTTTTAATTGAAAAAGAAAAAGGTGGAAAAATAAGAATTTAGACTTTGCAAAGCTGCCACTTTGTGTCTTCCCCGAATGCGTCCTCTTTGTGCGGCCGCGATTCCCCACAAGGCAAAAGGAAAGAAAAAAAAAGAGCATGATTGACGTGAAGGAATTTCTTCAATCTTTCTATAAATTTATATTTTTCTTGGTCTGGAACGAGACGAAGCAGCATCTGCTAAAAGCTGGGGCAAGTGCCACGGTTTCCCCTTGCCAGAACAACAGTAAAATAATAAAAATAAGAAGAATATAACCCAATTTTCTATCATTCCTTGCAGCTTTAAGCTAAATTCTTGCAAAAAAAATGGGCATTTTTTTAGCTGGGTGTTGCAATCTCACTATCAGCCCTGGCTCTGGAGCGGCTTCTGCATGTGAGAAGCAATTGGAAAAAGCGGAATAAATGAGTATTTGAGTCTTTAACGCAATGTTTGGGGAAGGGAAGAGCGCCGCGATTGAGGGTACGGGGGAATGCGAGGCGATGGACTGCAACCTCCCAGCTGGGCAGGGTTTTTGCGTCTTATGCCAATAATGTTTAGAAAATTAACGTTCCCAAATAAGCCCAAGATAACTCACTCTCTCTAATTCGTCCGGCTGTAAGGGAAATAAAACTGCACTCATTTCTTGCAAAAAAATACTGTTCCCCCTTTCCTACCCATTTGCCCATTCTGCCCCAATTCCCTGGTGTCTGACTGGTCCTCAGCTGTGGGACAAAATCTCAACAAAGGGGATTTTTTTCCCCCTTTTTATTCAATTTTCTTTCATTTCGATGCATTTCTCCAGGAATCCTGTTTCATGGCTTAAGAAAAGAGGATTCCTCTGGGCTAGCAACGCGCAACACCACCGGAAGCCGTGGCCAGGTTGGAAAAAGCCGTAGCTCCTTTTTTCTTCTCCATGAAACTACAGAGGTGGGACTTTGAGCGCACAGATCAATGAATTTTATGCTGTGGGATGACGTGGGTGCATGGCTCAGCAAGGAATTGGGGTACCCTTGCGTCCACGTCGATGTGTTCCCAGTTGCTGGAGGAACGATGTCATTCTTGGTCCCTTTTTTCTTTGCTTTTCCCCTTTACGCTCACGCCTTTTCCCCACCAGTCGCCACCGATTTGCCTGGGCAGTGGTTCTGAATAAACCCCGATTTCCCTGTGTGCTTTTGCTATTGAAATCCCTCGCTGCACCTTCCCCTCTCGTCATGCCGAGCCCAAAATGTCGCAACCGATGCGTCTCCACGTGTTATTTTTGTCCTCTCCATTGATGAGCTGAGTATTATTTGCCTGGAAATTTTGCTGCAATTGCTGTGAATTTTTGCTTCGCCTCCCAGACGTTCCTTTTCATAGCTAAATTAATTAAAAAAATGCAAATATGCTGCAAAATACTTCTATTTTTTTAATACCCCTTCCCCATCTCCAGCTTTTTTGGGGAAATGGGTTTTGATTTGAAAAGTGAGGATTGAAAAAAAATCAGAAAGCAAAAACCGGTTGCTTCTGCATGGACTTGGTCTTGGCTTTTGCTAAAGTGTCCGGCTAACAAACCCAGTGGAAATATTCCTATAAATCCAAATGCGGTCCTTGGAGAACCTCACAAAGGAGTCAGGGGTGACCAGAGATTTGGTCTAGCCTGAAGACCTCCAGCTTTCCTCTCTTGCCTTGTTTTCCCATGATTCCCCCAAAAGAAGGGCATCCAGAAGTGCATCAGGAAGAAATAACTTGGGTTATGGGAAAATGGGAACAAGAAGCTGCTGTTTCCTGATTCAGTGGTCAAAGCCACTTTCAGCCGCTTTTTACGATGACAAAATTTGCTTTTTTTAGGTGGCGTAGAGGAAAACTGTCCCAAAACACCATCGCAGTGGTGTCCAAAAAGGCAGAATATTGATAATTATTAGAAAAAAGCAACGAAAGAAATTCATGGTGGTTCTGCAACATCACTGTGAAACCAAGGGTACCCGAAGAAATTGGAGGCCCTGCCTTAAAATAAATATAGATATCTCCAAGAAGTTTTAAAAAATATATTTTTGCGTACTAATTGCCTTGGATCGCAAATGCCAGCCAAATTTGTATCACGCTCATGATTTTGCCGCAGTGGAAAATATTTTATATTTTAGGACTCAAAGAAGTTGGAATGTTTCCGACGATTTTGGAGCTTGAGTGTAAAGAATGGATCACTAGGTGTCTCTGCAGATCCACAGCTCAGCATTGACCTTCCGTGGCTCCATGGCAAAACACGATTTCTCCGAATTAAAAGTCACTTTCATGAAGAGAAAGATGTGGTACGTATTACATCGCACAGAAAAAACCCCCTTTCTCGTCAAAGACCAAGTGCCCAAGTGCGAACGAGTGCCAAAATTCAGTGCCTTCCCCTTGTGCTTTATGATGCAGCAATTTATTTTTTGGGTGGCACATGTGTAAAAAGTTCTGGCTCATCCTGACTTTGTGAAATTTATTTGTGCTTGAGGAAAGCTGGGGAAAATTTGGGTGAGTTGGAGAAAAAAGGAACCTGTGAGTTCACCAAGAGTGAGAAACAGCAAAACTGTAACCGTTCTTTTATAGGGTCAGTGGATGCTTGCCAAGGTATCTCCTATAAAGTAGATACCGTATTTTTACCATTGACCTCTAATAGTTGGGATTAAGACTGAACTGTGTTCGGTGTTGGGCCCCTCACTCCAAGAAAGACATTGCATTGCTGGAGCCTGTCCAGAGGAGAGCAACAAAGCTGGGGAGGGGTCTGGAGCACAAGTCTTACGAGGAGCGGCTGGGGGAGCTGGGGGGGTTCAGCCTGGAGCAGAGGAGGCTGAGGGGAGCCCTCATCGCTCCCTACAACTAAAGGGGAACGGTTGGGCTGGGGGAGCTTCAAGGGCTTTGCCAACCCAAACAATTCTATGATTCTAAGAGTTGGCCAAACTCAAACTCATGTAAGAGTACTCGTAGAGCTCCTTTGTGGATGGATGGGTGGATGAATGGAGACAAAAAAAAAGTTGGCTTTAAAGAACAGAAATCCACAGGACAAACTTGGATAAATTAGGATCTGTACACAGAAGTACTGCATCGAGTCAGGCCAACCCAACCGTCAGCCTCCAGCCACCAGCAAGATGGGGAGGAAGACAAGAAGAAGCAATGATGACCTGAAAATGCCCACATAAACACTGCCAATGCGCAACTCAAAATGAGAGCTGAAAAACACAAGATTTAATCCAATTTAAACATCCCTGGCACTGCTGTGATTCCCAATACAATTGGCTTTGTGGTGGTTTTTTTTTTTCCTTGCAGGTGAAGTCAACTGGAGAGCAATGAGGACCACTTTGATGTTCAAGGAAAGTTGAACTCATTAAGTGTTAGGTTAAATTGGCTTCTCCTATGCGGGCATGCAAGAAGCACCTCTCCTCTCCTCATCTGAAAAAATCAAAAAATATTCATTAAATGAGGGGAGGGAGTTAAAAACTGTCTGATGAGGGCTCAAGGGAAAGGAATGAAGCCAGGTGAAAAACAACCCAGAAAAACAGAAGAAGGGGAATTGCTTGGTGGAGTTGCAGGCCAAAGAGGCTAAAACTCCTCCTCAAAACAAAGCAGAGCACAAAATGAGAAAGCGATGGAGAAAACGGGGGGGAAGAATGTCTGTAAGGTCACAAAGGTTCAATGCAGGCTCACAGCATAGGAAAAACAGTAACTTTTCACCCAAACCTGGCCAACACCAGAAGTCATCATCTCCAGACTTAGTGACACGAGAAGATTTCAGCAGCAGTGGAAACGCCTCTGTTGCCCAGGTTTCCTGTCATGCACCTGGTGCTCGCTCATCTTTCAATCACCTCCAGGTATTTTTGCATTTCTTGCATTTTTCACCTTAGAAAGTATAAATCGCACCAAGCCAAGGGCCGTCCTTTTTGGATACACCAGGGAAATCCAACCGCCATTCTCCCACGACGACGTTTTGACAGGTCCAACCATTGTTTTCTCAGTTTTGGTTGATGTCTTTGTTATTGTGTATCCATAATTTTTTCAGCAGGCTTTTCCATGGTAAAAAACTTCACAAAAAAGGGAAATATTTCGCTTTCATGACCAGCCTGGTGTATCTGCTCAAAGCTCATCCCATATCCCTAGAAAACCTATTTTCTGAGAACCCTCATTCATTGATATGAATCACATTTCCATTATTTAGATTTTTTTTTTTTAATTCCTAAATTAGTGTCCCCTTAGCTGTTTCACCTGCCCTGAGCATGAGATTAATAGGCCGATAATTAGCAAAATCATCCCGCTTGCCATTTTTTCAACATTGATCCCACGATTCTTCAGGTCTCTGGAGCATTCCCAGCCGTTAAAACTCAACCGATGAATATGGAGTATATTTCCACCCATTTTTTTAAGCTTTAGTCACGCAAACTCAAGTACATTCAACGAGTCAAAGCACTCAGGTACTTGGCATTGTTTGGGTGGATAAGCAGAAAAAATGTGACGTTATTTCATCACTGGTACGTCATCCGCATCCAATGACCAGATGAGATGGTGGCTCCTTCTGGTCTACCACTGTGAATATTTCAGCAAGCATTTCCCCTCCAGTTGGGTCTTTCTTGGGTGTGTTCCCATTTATTTAGCAACTGCCTCCAAATCCTCACTTGAATTTCTCAACTTTAGAGTCTTGCCCGGAAGGGAAACACCAGCAGCTCCGGGTTTGCAGGAATCAGAGGTGCTTGGTACCTCTCCATGGGCCTGATTATTTTCCAAAGACTTGTGCTAATTTTCTGATACGATCCCCACCTCTTTGTGAAGCGCTAAATCCTCATTACTTTTCCTGACCGATGCATTCTAATTAGATCAACACTTTAAAAAAAAAAAAAAAAAAAGGAAAAGAGGAAAAAAAAAAAATCACAATAGCCACAGGACGGCTTTCCATCTCATTAACTCCCTCACTTATTATTTTCATGAAAATTACTGATAAAAAACGTGCATCTCCATTTGCTGGGACCAGGAGCTTCGTCGGCTCCTATCTAACATCTCTCTCATCACCCGGGATGCGAGCTGTTGCCATGGCGACGCACAATAATAGAAACTAATAAATTACAAACGAGATGCTCGTTGAGCAATTATTGTTCTCTTTTATGCAAGTGTCTTGCTAATTTTGATCATAAGGAATGCTACCATAAAGCGGTGAAGGGATAATAAGTCCATTTCTAGAGATTATTAGGAAATAGAGAGAGGCTGGGGGTTTTTTTAGATCAATGATTAAGTGGTTTGGTGCTTTCAGGGAACCCAAGTAAGAACTCAAACTTTTTGGGGGGCTTTTCCCTCCCTGTGCTGGGGGAAGAAAGTGGCCACAAGGATCACACTGGGAGCTTCAAACTCTGCAGCATGTGGAGCTGAGCTGCTGAAATTCCCTTTTTTCCCCTTCCACCACCCTAAAAATGTCTTGAAAAGCCCTAAAAAAGTGTGTGTGTGTCCCTCCTTTTTGGGGAACAGCTCCACAAGCTGCCTGGGGACGCCCTGGCTTATTTTAAGTTGGCTGCAGTTATTTCTGGTGGGATTGTGCAACCCCAAATTTCATTTCCCCCCCCGCCAAAAAATTCAGTATCTGAGAGAAATCCCTAAGGGACACCCAATGCTGCATCACTGAAGTTTTTTGGGATGCAGCCAACCAACATTCATTCCCTGCACTACAAATGCACATGCAAATCCCCACGCATGGGCAGCTTTTTTTCCAAATTTTAAGTTAAAATCCCTTATTTTGCCCCAAACCCCACCAAGGTGCAGCTCAGTTTGGCCATTTCAGTTGGCATTTCGGTATTTCCTGGGCATCTCCTTGTACCTTCCCACTCTGCTTGAGACACCAAATGTTTTTTTCCTCCCAGCTAAGACCCAAATTATGCAAAAAAAACCATCAAGGTGGGAATGTTGATCACGCTGGGGGAGAACTGCAAGATGTGCTGGGGCAAAAAAGGAGCAGCAAAGCCAAAAAGGGCTATCTCAGACCCAAAAATCTGCACAGCTGCCTTGAAACGAAGACAAGAATGGGAAGAGAGGAAGTGGTGGAGAAAAAACATGGTGTTTCTGTCCCTTCTGGGGTTTTTCGGGAAAAAGTGCAAAATTCTTGTCCATTTTCCCATGCGCTTGCACGGCTTCTGCAATTCCTTCCCCCCACATTTCATCGCTGCAACGTAAGAGCTTAGGAGAAGTCCTCACACCTCTGTTTTGTAGAGACACAAACACTGGGCCATGACTAAAAATGAAACGAAAAAAAATCACCGCCGTGTCATTGCAGCATGAGAAAGATATGGGTTATTTTTAATTATTTTCCTCACTTAGGGATCGATTTTGATGAATTTCCAGGAGGCCACAAGAGCTGCAGAGCAACCCCCCAACGTCACTGGCCTGACTCACCCGTTGGCCAACATGCAACGATGGTGATTACAGGCAATTTTAAGGTGTTACCTGGGGGTGGAGGCTGATGGAGGAGGGGTTGGGGGAGTAGGGCCCCCCCAGGTCGTTCCTGAGTAGGTTGTCACTGTGCATCTTGGTTTTGAGGCAGGTGATGTAGCGGTTGCAAAAGTCCTTGCACAACTCATTGACCTTCTCCAGCTCCAAGAGGTGGATGCGCAGCACCTGGATTGCCTTCACCATCTATGCAAGGACATGATGGCAGCATTAAAATATTTTTTTTTTCTCAACACATTGCAAAAAAAACCCCAAAAATCAGTATTCTCACCCAAAATCTAACCTGGAACCCATCCCTACAGTAGAATCAAATGCGTTTCCTTTCTCAACACGCAAAAAAAAGCCAAAAAATCAATATTCTTGCCCAAAACCCATCCCAGAGCCCATCCCTCTGCACCTCTGCATTTCTTTTCCCTCGCCATTAATCATATCTCCAAAATCCCAAGAAGCCAAAATTGACGACGATTACCATTGCCTTCATGGGAATCACTCCCTGTGCCCCAAAAAAGTCCAAGCCAAAGCCCTGGATGTCAAAAAGTGCTTGGTTATTCTCTGGAGGCCACTTCTTCTAACAAGGTTATGGGGCTGCAACTCCACTGTAAGCTGTTGCCGGTGCAAAGCCTGGGCCTCGTTAAAACGTACCCCATAAACATTAAAAAATTTACACATAAAACATTCCTCTCGCTGAGCTGAAACCTTAAGTTTTACAGCCGCTGTTTGAAATCTTGCATAATATATAAAATTTCAGCTATTCACTCCGGGGCAATAAATCCGGTTTTATGTAACAAAGCGTCTTTGCATTTCAAAGGGTGTTTTTAACTTGCAAATTTTAGTGGTCATCTTTACAAACTGCGAGTCGCCACGGTTGGGAAACATCCCGAAAAATCCAGGGCCAAACTCGAGTAGCGGCTCCACAACAGAGAAAGTGAATTTTCAGTTGGCAACCAACAAGGATGATGGGTTGTAGCTGGAAAAAAAATCCTTTTATTTTGCTTTTTTTGGCTTATTTTGGCTTTTTTTTTTCTCCTCTGCTGTTGGCGTAGGCAAAGTGCAAGGTGGAAGCGTCGCGCCCTGACTCTCCGCATCCTCCCAGGGCTCAACGGCCATGAAAGTCAATATTCAAGGGCAAAGGCAAGAAGACCTGACACATATATGTATAAAAAATAAATCTCTCAATTATCTCAGCTCATTTGCTTAGGGTCTCATTTTATGTCCCTGCTCCGCTGCGCCGTATATCTGTCCGGATAAAGAGTTACAGTCCGACGGCGTACGTGTGCGGGGTTGTAAAAAATACAGATGCTGAATTAATTGACTGTGTGGCACTCGGCAGCTGATTGAGTTGATAATGGTGAGATCTGACCTTTTTCTAATTTCTAATTATGTGCATCTCAGCGGTGAGGAATACATGACTCTTATTCTAATGATAGCTAATGCTGCTGGCCTTTTCATCCCTGCTTTGCCATCGCCGACTTCCGGGGGTTCGGTGGTGTTAAGAAAAAAACCAAAACAACCAAAAAAATAACCCAAAAAAAGGGACGCTGCAAATAGGGGAAAAGTGTCAGCTCAGGAACAGGCAGGAATGAAGAGGTTTGAGCGCTACGGGGCTTTTTCATCCAAAATTCCCTCCCGTCGGCGCTTCCCACCAACAGGAACAGCGCTTCTTCAGCATCACATTAACGATCTCCTCTGTCTTGACAGAGGCCAACCACACGGAGCAATTTGGACAGCTTTTGGAGAGGTTCTGGGCATTGGAGAGAACATATACGTACAGATGTGTCCCAGAAATGGGGCAAAATACGTCTATACGTGGATACGAATATATCCAGCACTGCAAGATCATGCATGGGATCAGTGCAACTGCCCCCAGTCAGATTTCACCTCAGCAACAAGAGGTGGTCCAAAACATGCCCCAAAACCAGGACTGGTGGGGGTTTATTTTAAGAAACCACAAAAACCCAGTGAAAATAGGCTCTGTGGGCATGTCTCCTGCACCGACCATTCAATATGTGTTGGTTTTCCCAAAAAAAATTTTAAGATTTTTTTTTATCGTCAGCTGGCTTCATCTCTCTCCTCTTGCCTGATCATTGCACCCATTTTTATGTCATTTAATGTGATGGGGGGTTTTTTGGTGCTCCTCAACATTTGGTCCCAAAACAGAAATAATCCAAAACTTTGCTTTTTTTGGTTGCTTGTCCCAGAGCAATTTCTGTTCTCAGCCATAAGACATTGTGGGGCTTTGCATGGCCTGTAGCACTTTGGAGGGCTTTCCACAGGCTGCTAAGCCACTCTTGATTCAGGGATGTTGCAAAACTCCCCTCCATGAGCTGAAGTCGGGTGTAAAAGATGCGGGATTTCAATACATCTTGGAACTGTTTCTTGTGGGTTTAGGGAAGTGATGGTTTTTGCACTTGGATGAGCATTGGGTGTTCTTCCCTTCATGACAGGCTGTTGGACAAACTCATCTCCTTGAGATCTCCAATATTTGGAAAAAGCTGTCTGTGAACTTCCCAATTTTGCTTCTTTTCTGGGATGGAAACACATCCCAGCGATCACAGCATCCCTCAGGGAAGGTGTTTTGCTCTTTGCAAGACCAAAAGTGGGTGAAATTGCCTCTTCTGTCATTAAAAATCTGCTTGCGGAGCGCTGTGCCACAGACCAGTCCACCCACACACTTGCCATGGACACCACATGTGGAGGCTTCCAGGACAAAATAATGGGATTTGGGGATGTTTCCTGAGGTCCCCAGAAGAGAAAAGCTCCACTCCAGGCAGAGGCTTCTGAGGAACCTTCCAGCAGCAATGGGTACGGTACAAAATTTGGGTTGCTACAACAGGGAAGCCACCAAAACCAGTCCAAATTATCCCAAACCATTGATGTGCATCACCCTTTTTGGAAAAAGCTCTTATTTTGCCTTGTTTCTAGGACAAGAGCTGGCCATCACACTTGAAACAAGAATGCAGACACTATTGCGTGTTGCACCGAAGAGCAGTAGCTCCTGCAGAGGTTGCAAGTTTGGGGGCACAAACCAGCCATCAATCTTGGCTGTTCCCAAGAAATGCATTGACCCCGTGATGTTTGTGCAGGAAAACTAGCCAAAAATTGGGCAGGGGTTTGTTCTCACAGGCAATAGTATGGAAAAGGTCTCAGAGAAGCTCCTGGAGAAGGTCTCACAAGGTCTATGGAGAACATTGCCAAGGTGGCCAATGCTACAAACGGAGCCCCAAGACGTTGCCCAAGGTGGTACAACTCCAGAATTTGTTCCTCACCCCCTACCTTCTTCCCATCCCCCCCAAAACCATCTGCCAAGCCTCTACCAGGTTGTCCAGCTCAGGGTCATCACTGAAGAAGGGCTTGTGCTCCTGCTCCTGCTGGTGGACAAAGTTCTCGATGTCGACGTCGAAGCTGGCCGAGGTGATGCACTCGGAACCCTGAGTTGCCTGCTCGCACTTCTCAAAGAGCAGAGTCAGCAGCGGGAACAGCGGGTGCCTGCAGAGGACAAAGGAGACCCCTGCATAACGCCCACTGCTTCAGGTCCCACGCCCATTTTTATCCCACACCATGCATCCATCCCCTCCCAGCTTGCAAGAGCCTGCTGGTGCAAAGCTCACGCCCAAGCCAATGCTGGAAGTGCTCCCTCTAGACCTTTTCCAACAATAAAAAAATAAAAATATTTTTTAAATTGCAAAATTCACCATCTTCTCCACCAGGCAACGACTTCTCCCAATGCCTTGGTGCTTTTCATCATTGCACCAAAGCCAACATTCCCAAAATATTTTGCCATGGGCAAAAAGGTTTGGCTTCAGGGTGGGTGTCTCAGAGCCATCTGCTGTGCTGGTGGCTTTGCGTTTTGGGGCTAGACATCAGGACCCGCTCATCCATGTCAGTATTTTACCCCAAAATGTCTCTCTTGGTTGGAGATGCTGGGTGGGGATGAGCTGGAATGTCTAGGTGCCGGCGGCATCCTTTGGACCAACCTTGCTATGGGTTGCTCCTCCACCAAAAGGTCTCTTTGCACCTCCGTCAAGCACATCCATGTCCATGCACGAAGTTAAGGATGGGTCAAACCCCATTGAGTTCTCACCACACGATGACTCTTAGAAACCAAAGATTCACAGTTCTTCTTGCTCTAATGATGACGCTAAATCAGTGCACTATAAAATGCAAACATTGCACCCACTGTCCGTGCACGCAGAGAAGGGGATGAAGCCCATGAGTCCACAAAACCCTCAATGAACCTCTCCAGTTGTGGAATTTAAAAAAAAAAAGAAAATATTAAAGTATTCATGGAGCCTTTTTGGGGAGAAATGCGAAATGCTGATGGTCTTCCCCAGCACTCCCAGTTATTCCAGCACAATGGGGTTTGCTCCACCATTTTATCCCCCCAAAATGGCCCAGAAGATGATTAGGAGTCCCTTCCCACTGGTCTTTTCTGAGCCAGAGGCAGGCGAAGGGGTTAAACCCCTCAGCTAAGTCTTCATTTGTAGCCGCTAATACCGCAGCATATTATAGTTTAATCTGTCCTGATCCTGGTTTAATGCAGGATTCGCCAAGGCTGGAGCAGAGAACGGAGAGGGGGGGAAATAATTTCATAATTTCGGCAGCCCCGCCGGGGCTTAGCCCAGGGATATGAAAGGCAAATTCCAGGCGGCGAGCTGAGTTATTGGGACTTACGATCCGGGGGCTCAGCGGCAGGTGCCCGCTGCCATTTCCAGAGCCGCTCCATCAATTAGGAGCAAAAGCATGGAATTACCCCAAGGATGGGGTTGGGTTGGGTTTGGGTTTTTTTTCGGAGGGGGGATTGCAGCCCCTGAGCAATTTGTAGCCCCTCTGCTTTGAGGGCTTGCACCGACCAAGGGGGGATTACGACCGCTGCCGGCATCGCCCCGCGTTGCTCGGTATTAATAATTGGGGCAAAGCTGCCACTGACCCCTGTGGATGTCTGGGAGCGCTGGCAGGGAGGAGGAGGGGGCAGCACGCGGCCGAGGGGAGGATGGTTTGCTTTTTGGTCAGGAATAAAATAAAATAAAGTAAAATAAATAATAGAATAACATAAAATAAATAAAATAAAATAAAATAAAGTAAAATAAAATAAATAAATATATAATAAAGCGGAATTTCATTTAAGTAAGAGCTGAGCTGGCATTTAAAAGGCTGCGGGGTCCGACCATTTACCAGGCTGTATTTGCAGGGGAGGATTAGCTCGTGCATCCATATTCGAGAATTAACAGCCATTCTCTGCCTCTGCTCCACAGCTTGGCACTCTGTGCTGGTTCCCCCCATTTGGGTTGCTGCTTAAAATATTATCTTTTTTTTATTTTTTTTTTAACAGCTACTAAATGACCCAAATCCTGGCAGCTACTTGATGTACCTTCCTCAGGGTCACTGCATTGCCACATCCAACCTGTGTCATGCCCTCCTCAGCACCCCTGCCCATCTGAGGTGACTTTGATAAAGTTTTTGGGAGCAGGAGGAAGAGGGACAGTCTTGCCACATCTTCCATCCACACTCCTAATCCTCTGTAACCCTTTTACCGTTGTCTCTCTTCACCAGATTACCATCTTGACTGCTCCTTTCATCCCAAAGGGTGAAGGATAGGGATCCCATGTGTCCTTACCAAGTGTAGAGCCTGGCCTCTTTCTCCTTCACATCCTCCTTCAGCCCTAGCCTGGGACTGGCTGGGAGCCCATCAGCCAGCTGCTGCTACCCATCCTTCCCCAGCTCTCCTGGCTCCTCCAGTCACTGCTGCCCGGGAAGAGGCCAGTCCTTAAAGCAGAGGGCACTCTGGGGGTGTGCGCATGTGGCTCTACCTGTTCATTCTCTCTACTTAGCTCCAAGGACCTCTGTGCTGATGCTTGAAGGAGTGGAGGTAGGTTACATGAGAGGCGAGAGGCCACTCGTTACCAGGGGGCTTCCCCATTCCTGCCCCTGCCTTGGTGGAAGGTTTGGCTTCAGGGTGGGTGTCTCAGAGCCATCTGCTGTGCTGGTGGCTTTGCGTTTTGGGGCTAGACATCAGGACCCGCTCATCCATGTCAGTATTTTACCCCAAAATGTCTCTCTTGGTTGGAGATGCTGGGTGGGGATGAGCTGGAATGTCTAGGTGCCGGCGGCATCCTTTGGACCAACCTTGCTATGGGTTGCTCCTCCACCAAAAGGTCTCTTTGCACCTCCGTCAAGCACATCCATGTCCATGCACGAAGTTAAGGATGGGTCAAACCCCATTGAGTTCTCACCACACGATGACTCTTAGAAACCAAAGATTCACAGTTCTTCTTGCTCTAATGATGACGCTAAATCAGTGCACTATAAAATGCAAACATTGCACCCACTGTCCGTGCACGCAGAGAAGGGGATGAAGCCCATGAGTCCACAAAACCCTCAATGAACCTCTCCAGTTGTGGAATTTAAAAAAAAAAAGAAAATATTAAAGTATTCATGGAGCCTTTTTGGGGAGAAATGCGAAATGCTGATGGTCTTCCCCAGCACTCCCAGTTATTCCAGCACAATGGGGTTTGCTCC